GGTCAACCAATCACGTACCGCAGTACCGCGCGTCACCGTGCGTTACAATGCGCGACGCCGTAGCCAATTACCTCCGGTACCTATCTGTACCGGGCACTTTGAATGGCTGCATCTGTAGCTTATACAAGTAACAACACTAGCCATTTGGTTTAAATGTCAGACATTTTTTGAAAAATGACACCATTTTAAAAAAAAAGCATAGAACAGTTTTTAGGCTTGATAGACTAAACAAACTAGTCTTACAGTACTAACGAGGACAAAGCAGCTGTATGTGCCACTGTACGGTCTGTAAAACACACCATTGCACATACACCTGTTATGTCCATAAACTGGTAATCTAAGATTAAAAAAACTTTGTAATCTCCCTGTAATTCTAACAATTATTTTTTCACTCATTTGATGATACCTTTAACCCTAAAAAATAATACTGAACAATATGACATTGTAAGTGTCCTAGATTGATGGTCTGCTGATAAGAATATCTAAGAAGTAGAGACATTTACTTTACAGCATAGGATTATGATTATGTATGGATTACACAAGTCTGAATGTTAAATTCAATACTCAATAGCACATAGTGGTGTTTTGCACACTGTGCCTACCTGGTAGCCTTTGATTCTCTCCATCTCCTTGCTGGCCAGAGGGTTGCTCTTTACAACACACACCAGAGCTTTCACTGCAGCATACAGCCCTTCCACATCTGACGCCATGGCAACCAAGCCAAGGATGGCAGCTGCCCCTCCAATATACTGCAAGTTTGTTGCAACTGGCTTTGGAACAAAAGCTCTTACACCTTCAAGAGGGTTAAAAATAATTAGAACAACAAGTATCAATACTGTTGTTGGTTTGAGAAAGAGAACTGGTTTGTCTGTATTTTATTATAATTTAATTTGTTAATTTTCACTTGACAATTTTTTAGAAATCAGAATATTCTTCACCAGTATCTTCACATATATCGTATATTAGCGTATAAATGTAAAGCATACCAGGTGATAAGGTGGTAAGAATTTAAGAAATAAGGCCAATTATCCCAGCCAACTAAACTACCAGTATGTTTTTAGAGGGTGGAAGAAAACCAGAGAACCCAGAGGAATCCCATGTAAACACAGGGAGAACATACAAACTCCACTGAGAGAGTACCCCAGGTCCAAAGTTGAACCAGGGCCTCACCACTGTAAGGCAGGAATGCCAACCACTGTTCTACCATGCCGTCCCTAGAGGCACACTCATTTAGAATCAGCTGTTCTTCCATCAGCATATCTGACCATATTCCCAGTCACTCAAAATATACAATCTATTCAACAGAGCAATACTAGTAAACAGGGTTTCTTGCCAAGTTCAGATGACAAGTTGGGAAATTTCATCACATTATTATCATCTTAACACTTACCAAGGTAACCGATGACAGCAGCACCAATAGTACGTGCCGGTCCATTGAGATGTCCAGCAGAGTTGTGTAACAGCTTGACTGGAGTTGCATTTTCATGAGAGGACACTGCTAACTAGAAAACAAATAGTAAAAAAAGTAAATGTGATAGCTTTTTATCAACACTGCTTTCAAGAAATAAGACCTGGGACTTTTAACAGTTAAAGTAACAAATTTAGGTGAATTCTTAAAAGCTGTCAAAAAACTGTATCCATACTGTGATTGTGACTTTATTACGTAAAAATATCATAAACACAAATACAGAAACAAATCATCCTAGCTCAAAATCTTTGGATGTTCAAGGGCCTGTGTGTTATAGTGCTGAGCAAGCACTGTTGCTTCTGTAAAACTGCTGTCGGTGCAATGTTCATTTCTCTAAAGTGCTCTACAGATGCAGCAGCCTAAGTAAACATCATTTGAATAGAAAATTAAGGGAGTAAAGATGCACAGTAAAGATGTTTCAGTTGTTGATACAAAATCAACTTCCTTCCCCTGATGAGAAAAAAAATCAATAATTTAAAGTCAATTTCTGCAAGATGACACAAAATAACATGAAACGAGGCACATTTAACCCAAAGAATTTTTAAAGTGAAGCCTCACCTGCTTGGCAATGGCTTTGCTGTCCAGCTTGTTGTAGACCTTCCTAATCTTGGCCACAGTGAGTGAGGACACAGAGAGGGCATATAGCCCAAAGGACACCTTCTCTTCAGGCACTAGGGCCACAGGAGATGAAGCAGCAGCCTCAGCCTTTGAGTCTTTACCTGAAGGATAAGCATTTCCTCAGGTCAGGTCATTTCATGGACGGTTTTCTTCACAAGATTATTTTAGTTTTTCAAGGTTAAAGGCAAACTACATAACACAAACACAATTTACTTTCCACAGATTACATTCCTATTTATAGTAAAGCTGACAAGAGTTTAACAATAGATAACTAAAATGTACATAATAGGTATTACCTGCAAAAGATAAAGTGTTGAAAGGGATTCTAAAATCCTTTTAACCCCAAATTGCATTTTGCATTGTATGCATTTCAACCTGACAGATTTAATTAAAAGTAAAATAAAAAAAACAGTACTGTGTATAGATCTGGTTGCCCACAGAAATTATTAATATTAATGTTACCCTGAATAAAACTAAGATGGAAATGAAAACTAAAATGTTAAATGTCATATTAACCCAAGTTATTTGTTATTTGCGATACTGAAAACTACAATGAGAACTACTAACTCGTAAAAGCACACAGTAAAACAGATATAATCAAATGTTATTTTTTTTAGCAGCATGAGAATTCAAAGCAATACCAGGGGTTTATACTTCTTGTACTGTAGGTTCCATAAATAAAACGCAGTCACTGTTCATGAATGGCACATTTCAGTTAGAAACTACAGGCTCGGGCACAGACATGGCCTGCACAAGACACTCACTAAAAATCTGTGAAATCATTGTTGAGATTTCTAATATTCTAAGCAATGTAGGAAATCATTTTTGGACCACACAAAAGTTCCTTATTTTTGTTAATAGTGACATTCAAAGTTCAAACTTTCCATTATTTTTCTAATTCAATGTGATAGAGCATTCACTGCTATCAGGTAAGAGCACCATGCTAATGAATCAGATTTCACAGTCTCTCAGTCATGCTGAGTCTAATGTGATTATTAGTACAAGAACAAATATACAAAGACACTCGGTAAATGAAGAACAACATCCTTTATATGGATCATGATGCAGCAGAAATACACTGCTTCACTGCCACTGTGGTCCAAGTCTGAAGCATAACAGAATTAAACAACGGTGACAATTAATAACAAAGTTAATTAATTAAATGACAAATGCTCATTTAAAAACATATCAAGTACTTCTGTGATGAAAAACTGAAAAATGTCCGATCCATTAAAGTACTTGTAAAACCCAATGCACATATGAAGTAAACACTGATCATTTTCAGCTGGAAGTCTGTCAGAGTCTGCAGAGCTACAAATACTTAGAAAATTATTTATCCTTCTGCAATTATAAGCTAATATCCAAATAATAAACCACAAAAGTAGTAACAGGTTTTCATCCTAGAAAATATATTTCCATATCTGCATTCTTTTAACAGTACTTGTGCTGGTTATGAAATACATCACAGAGCAATCACTTATAAATTGTCTTAGCCTACTACTTAAATGAGCCTGTCAGGCATAAGACTGCCTAAGACCCCATTGAAGATAAGACTAACAATGAACTACAGAGTCATCTGGGACTATTACATTTTGTAAAAATACATCTGAATTCCCTTTTCCTGACAAATGTTTTATTCATATTTTAGAATATAGATAAGGGAAAAAAAATATCCCTAAAAATGAAATATATATATTTTTTAAACTTCCCTTTATTTATTTATATTCTCTTGGCTATGGCCAATAAACAATCTTAAACTATGTGTTTTCTTTTTTCTAGTTGAAAAATAGGTCAACACCTGATCAGAAGTCTTATGCAACATCTTAATTTAGGAAAAAAAAGTTTGCATGAATACATTCTATGTAGCACTGCAGACTTTTTTTGCATTTTTTAACTTACTTTACCTAATGTTCTCTGTTTTAATTATCCAAGTCTTACGTGAAACATTTGCAGATAGTTTAGTGTCTTCTGCTATCTTCACAGCATATGCTTGTTTTAAGAATCACCACATTACCTCCTAAACAATTCCTGTCCATATTTCTTAATAAATAAAAACAACCGATTTGAAAAAAGTGAATTGCAATTAATCCGAAGGAATCTTCTTAAATTCCTACTCTTGACAGTCAAAGAAAAGCTCTAGACACAAAACAAATGTAGCTTAACAACACAGAATAGCTGTTTGAGACCAAAGGTCATGTTTTGTAAAAAATAAAATGACCCTTTTTTGTTTTCATTACAAGGTCTACTAGTCTTAAACAATGATTAGTACTGCATTCTGTACTTACATGGGAGGCAGACTGCCTGAAAGCTACCCACATAGTTGGGTCCCAGTTCATATATAGTGGAAACGCTGGAAGCTGGCAGGACCTCTTCCAAGAAATGTGTGGGTCCCAGACGCCACACCAGAGTGGAAAGCTGGCGCTGGGCAGGGGGGGTGCCAATGTAGCTGTATACAGTGCTGACCACTGGTGGGTTGGCTGAACCAGAACCTCCAGGTGTGCTGTGTACATAGTGGAGCTGGGGAGATTGCAATTACACAAGGGGAGGAATTCAATACTGAGAAAAATGCTCTACAAAAAATGAGTCAAAAATGGAGTTCTTATCTACAGTACATTACAATTTTCTACTTGTTTCATATAATCTGCTGTGCAAATATGAGAAAAGGCAATTGTTTCTGTACCCTAGGAGTGTGCAAACTTTAACAAAAACAAATGCGTAGTTTAAAAATGTGAGTTACATTAGTTTAATACAGTACTGTATGCTTTATTGCTTCATCATAAAATCAAGAAATTTTAACCTGTTTAATTCCACTTTCACATTTGAATAGGAAGATCAGCCTTAGTTGCACATCTAAAACATCGATTAATATTTAAAAACATTTAAAAGCATGGTATAACTAAGTGAATTGCTACAAAGTAAATGCATGGATTGTCACTGTTCTCTGATTCCTCAGGTGTAATAAAAAAAACATTTTAAATCATGCAATACTTGTGCATGTGACATGTCAGGCAGCTGTCATGCTTGAATTAGAGTGCCATCTCCCCAAAGATCACTGTCTGACTGACGACCAAAAGCATCATTCTCACTGCATTGGCCATAGACTTATTTTAGAAGCACCAGTTGTAGGTTTTTCACATCTTGATTCATGGCTACAAATACTGCAACTTCACACAGAGGAGAATCAGAAAGTGTAGGCAGACTCAACTAATCTGCTCACCTTTAAGATACTCAGTTTTTGACAAGTCAGGCATCACAGCCCTGTATCTGAGTTTCAGTGTATTGTAAGGTAGTCCCTCACTGACAGCAACCCATAATTTCAAGAGGTTGCAGAGGTCACTGTGTGCCAAAAGCCAAAAGAGCCTTGTTCCTAAATTCCTAACCTCTGTGCACACAATCAAGTGTGCAACCTCTCTTGGAGAATACTGGTCACAGAATTCTAATTCTAATGACATGAAGCCTAATGACATGACCCTGGTTGAAACCCATGATTTCTGGGTCTTACAGCTTGACCTGCACCTTTGTCGGTTGAGTCATAGAAACAGACCCTCAGGCAAGATTCTCCTAAGTCTCAGTGCAATAGTGACTCCTGAGTCTGCAAACGTGCAGTGACGTCAGTGCCAGATATGTTGCACTTCCTTTTTGCACTAACAATCCTTATAGGCCCTTTTGGAGCAGGGAGCATGTTAAATGACAAATGGGTCTGGCAGGTGTATGTCAGGGGAACATTTCTGCAAGATGAGGCAATACATTTAAAAAAAAACTTTAGAACCACTCATAGGAGCAAAACAATTCCAAACAAGAATACCAAGTTATCAAACAAGCTACATGGGCCTTCTGCAGATTTTTAAGACCATATAATGCAGTATTCCACAGGGAGAAAAAAAAGGATTTATCTCTGCTTTAAAACTTTACCTGCTTCACTTAAACACATTAAATAAAAAACAGAATATTTTATTCCTCATTTTAAATTTTAGAATTTTAATATTACTCAAAAATTATAATCCCTGGAGTTCACTGGAAGAAAAAAAAGATATGAAGAAAATCCTGTGCTGATGGAGTGTAGACATGACACTTCACTGTAAATAAGGCACACCTAGTTCATGATGCCTGACTGTGATATCTGAACAGTATGAGAGTAAATATGAACAATCTGAATAACTCTAAAAGGGCAAGTGGTGGCACATGTTAAACCTACACAGGCGTTAAATTTATTTAAAATCTCATTTTAAAAATAATCTTAAAAATACTGAAGAAAGACTTGACATTTTAATGCAAAGTGTCAGTTTTATTATTTTACAGTAGGTCTCTTGATGGCTGACACAAAACACTATGCAAGACTTGATGTGACTAAACTGTTCCCTATAGTCTGAGTCTGTCACTGCAAGCTCTTCAGATGCACAGTTTCTCCCTAGACAGAAGCTTTCAGCTGTCTGACCACTCTAGAGTCCAAACACCAGCTGAAACCATCGTTGCTGCCCTCATGTGCTTCTTGTCACTGAAAACCATACTGGTTTTATAATGAGATTTATAGACAACTTGGGAACAACTAGGGCAGTCTAAATTTCATTTTCTTCTCTTCCCCTCCTGATGCAGACATACAAAAGCATTTATGTTTTATAACAGGCCACTGCAGCTTAAAATACCATTTTTTATTTAAGGCTCGCAGCCTTTGAAATCTTAGTTAAGATTTAACCACTTCAAATTTAATATCTAGAATAAAGTGAAGAACTTGCATTTTCCTTGATATGTGGCACTGAATACAGAAGAAAAAACAGTAAATTATGTTTCATAACAGGTGTTATTTTTTCAACTTTTAATGTTTCTAGTATCTACTCAGAATCAAATGTAATTTTGCTGTTAAACTAAAAAATCGAACTGTTTACTTATAATGATGCTATTGTGCTTCATAAGGCAATTGTTTATCTGAGCATATCATAATTATCTGCATATTATCTACACCAAAACATTTGAGGTACCTGCATAAAAGAATAAACAAGTGAAAAGGAAGGCACTAGAAAGAAATGTTTCTGCAGAATGACATATAAATATTTTATGACTTATTTGAAGGAAGGATTCTATATTACTGCTCTAATTTATTGTGTACATGATAAATATTTGATGTTTGACAGCTTAACCCCTTTCCATCTACTGCATCACCTGGGTTATTTCTGCATTGGCTTTATTAAAGCGACAAAATGAATTGTCAGGTTTTACATTCATATGTAAACCCTCATCACCCTATTTAAGAATCAAAAGATGGTCATTATATTTTAATATAAATACCAGGTAACACACTGAACATAAAAATATGATTAGCCTTAGGAGTACCAAAGTATATCTGGGTCTGAAGTGGGTCTTAGTGGTGCCAAAAACAATTCCAAGAAGAATAATTAAATTATTTCTTTACTAGGATAACAACAAGAGAAAAAGTAGTTTCTTAAGATCAATGAGACCTAGAATAACATACAGAAATTTAATAAAAGTTTCTTTTTGGTCCATACCTTGACTGTGTTCACTAGCTGCCCATCTATGTAGAGCGTGGCAGCACTGTTCTTTAACATGCCTTTACTCATCACCAAGACTAGGTGATGCCACTGTCCCTCACTGATGAGATCTCCACAGCGGAAACGTGCACAGCAAGGAAGGATCTCGTAGAAGGAAGACTCCTCACTGAAGTCATCCACTGGGAAAGAAAAACATGCAATATTAAAAGGGTTTCACATATACCAGGGCTGACTTCCATATAATGTACTAACTCAACATGAACAGACTGCAGTCACCATATTTTTAACGCCAATTATAGTGGTACAGTAGAGTCTCAATTATCCGACATTCCGTTTTAACCAATATAGCCAATCAACAAGCTACATACTGTATGCGTGCGCATGCATAATATTGTAGCACCCTCGCCAGATGCTTTAGCGGCTGCACTGTGCAGCAGCTAAAGCGTTCGGCAGGGTGCTACAATATTTTGCCCAATCCCATGCTGCTTTGTCTCTCAGTGCGTCATGTGCCGCCATTGACGTAGCTTCGCTTGCTCATTTGCACTCATGATTTATTTTTGTCTGTATATACAGTGATTGCGTTTTATTTTTCCTATTGTTTACATTTACATTTCCCTTAATATAATTGTATTATTTGTGAAACATGAAGAGTGAGAAGAGAAAGAAAGTAGTTCTTTCAATCAGAATCATAGCCAAGGGTCTCAAAGTGTCACTAGCTTACACTGAACAACAAGAGGAGGCAACTGCCACTGATGTCATGTTACTAAGACAATGGTGAGACCTTGCCGCAAGGAAGAGAAGCACATCTGGAAAACAGATTCCAATCACTAATTTCTTTAAATAATAACTAACAATAGTTCTATACTCTACTACTTTAGTATTACAGTAGATTAATAAACCAGATTTCATACTTATACTGCCTTCCATTAATCTATGATTTGTATACTCAGTTTCCGCATTGTCCAACATTTCCGATTATCCAACATACTATCGGCCCCGTTTATGTCGGATAATCGGGACTCTACTGTAATTTTGTGTTACACAACACCACTAACTGGCATTGCCAAGACTTTTACATGACTTTTATGAAAACAGGAAAGATAAAGCCCAGGCATGCTCATGCTAAAGGGTATTCATGTTAATGCTTAGCTGTACCACGGATCATTAGCCCTGAGTGAACTTGCCATAGTTCTGCAGCAGCTCCTCCTTGGTGGACACAATGAGCGATCGGTCCTTGGCTGAAAGAACAATGGCCAGGCAGATGTAGTGCTGCTCAGAGGAGGTGGCCCGACGTACCACTGTGATCAGCCTCACAGGGTGGTTGTGGGGAGGACTACTGAAGCGCTCGATACAAAACCAGGAGGAGTATGTCAAACCAGAGGGAGGAGGAAACAGTCTCTCACCTGCCAAATACAATACAATTTAGTTAAAGGCTAGAAAGATCTGGACTAAATGACCAGAAAACTGTAACAAATTTAAAAAAAAATTACTTTAATTTACTTATTCGATACCTCCCATTTTTTTTATTTAAGTGAAACACAAAACAGTAAACAATGCCTTAGTACACTGTACCTAATAGTTACAAAAGTACTGTAGCTATTCTGGGCACAGTCTTTGTTCCATTGTAGACCAGTTTTACAGCTAGTTCAATCAACTTCAATTAATCACCTATAAGCCAGGGTTCCAGTGGACCTCTGAATAACAACATTATTGCAGTACCTGCAATTGTAAGGCAATTGAAACTTCAATGCAAAACCCATTAAATTCAATAAATGAGTAACATGAAGGAAGATTGTTTGTGTCAGTATACACTAAAATTCAAGATAGTTTTTACAGAAAACAGATGGGAAAGCAAAATAGGATAATGCAGATTTTACAAAAGAATACTTTTGAAATTAGGTGTCTTTTATTAAGACACGCCTCAATAATGAGCACTTAAAACTATTTTTTCCCATTATCTTTGTAAAAACATGGCACACCAAAAGGGCTACTTCAAGGTTCTAAGCAAACCACCAGTGTTAAAAACCAGAATAAATGTTTTTCAAACAGAAATGATGTCACTTTTAAATATAGGTCAGGGAACACAAGCTCCCATCTATATATAAATGACACCATCTGCAGACATTTCAGGATGATTTTAACAGCAGGAAACATTCAATTTCCTCTATCATGCCACACTCTTAGGACTCTATGCCTACATCACTTCATAAATTCTTGATAATATTATTTACAGCGGCTTCTGCCTTTCTTGTGGCTGTATGAAAGATGCGATATTTAAATTCACATCTAAATACTTTACAATGAGCACAAAGAAACGAGAAAATAAGATAAAAATTGTGCGGTATCCATAACAAAATTCTACAGTTTGAGTTGTGATATATTTAAAAATATTAACAAAAGCATTTTCAAATCTTTATACTTTGAATGGACAAATCTAGGCAACAACAACCTTTTTCATATTTTTGTGATTATGTACTTGTACTATATAGTTTGATATTAGAAAATCAATAACTTTACTCTTGATACAAAATAATGTGCGCATTTAGGATAAGCTAACCAAAGATTATTCAAAAAATCTAATTCCTGTAGCCACAGCTGAGTAAATACAATCAATGAAACACTGAAGCAAATGCATATATTAAACAGAGATGTTTAATATATTCTGAAAAAGAATACATGATATACAAAAAAAAATATACTAACCATTTCCTATTCCACTGACAACAGCCCCGTCATTCACCCCAGATGCATTGACATTACTGGATGGTGCATTGTGGGGAGCCAGACTGGGCAGGAAAAGACACCTGCATGATAAAAGAGATCCATTAATTCCAGGTGTGTGCATAGTGCCTACAACAGTTATTCATACTGTGTTATCTATCTTATTATTTTCCTTCATATAGAAATGTGATTATTTGTTTTCTTTATACAGAAAATACAAAACATGTAGTATACATTTTAGTAGTACATTTTAAATAAAGTGAATACAGAAATTATTATTTTTTCTCCTTTGTGATAAGAAAACTTTTAGAACAAACATTTGATATCAGATGTGCACACAGAAATTCAGGCTGGAACAGTTTACAAAATTTATATTTATATATATACAAAATCTTGATTCTTGAAAGAAAATTCTTTTACTCTGTTTTATTATACTTTCTCAAATGAACTACAGATGTATCTGTCTGAAATCTTTTGATGTCTGTTTCATTATAATCAAACAAAAATATATATGTACCTGGAATTATCTAACCAAATGAATCAACCTGGAAAAAAGGGGTTCTGGAGACATTTTTTGGCAAAATGTTTCTCCTTGCCAAAACCAGTCAAGTAGAGATTCTTTCTAACTACCCAACCATTAAATACTATCACCTTCCATTTTATTCCAAAGGTGCTAAAACATTCAGATTTTTCTTTATATGCTGACTGAAATATATCCATATTTTTTCTCACTTAATACAAATTCTACAATTTGCACTACCAGCTTCTACATATAAGAGGCAAAGGGAAACTAGGAGATACAGTCTGAATAATTGGTGCAATCATTGTGTATTGCAAATGTGTGGTCAAAATATCTATCTGTAAGAACACAAAAACCAGCACTATTACAGGCAACAGCCAGTTAATGTATAGGGTTTTCATTCCTGTCATTCTGGTTGTGGCCAAGGAGGAAGACTTTTTCAAAGGAGCTATGACCCTAAGTGTCAGTAGTGAGTCATGAATTCACAGAAGCATGGAGGCCCCTTACTCAGCCGATGATTCCTTTCAATCTCACATCACAGCATGAAAGAAAACTGTCACACAGTGACTAAGAGAAGAAATGGGGAGAAACATCCTATAATTAGCTAAGAAGATTTCCCTAAAATGACTGCAAGGCTTTTTCTACTGGTTTATTAAAAGAATCTGTTCAGGTTCATTCTTCGCGGTAATTTACAGTAGAATATCATAATATGAAAATGAAATTAACATTTTGTAAGTACAGGTGGCATGTCTTATGAAAAGTTTATTTTTAAAATGGAATAATAAATAGAAAAAACTGCAGGAATATGAAAAAAAAAAACATAACTCATGAAGGGCCAGACCACTTTTCAGAATGACTACTCTAAGATTTACAAGCAATTTACTTTGATAATCAATTAAGTGCATTTCAATAGATAGCAGTGAAACGTAACATTCACTACTTCTGCCATTTCACCAAATTTGACTATCTTTGATATAGGTTAGATTCTTATGGTTCAAAGACTTAATCATATTACCTTTGTGTTTTATAAAATGGAAAATTACATAAAAAGATACAAGAAACAGTCAATCATTGAGTTTTGAATTAAGAATGACAAAACACTTAATGAGAAAATGTGTATATTCTGAAGAAACTTTATTTTATAACAGATAACACTTTTTAAAGATTAATGAACTGAGGTATTAAATTTATATTTGTTTTCACTCCTATCCATCGCAGCAAACTTTTAACAAGCTAAAAATAAAATTTCATCTAAACCAAAGGATAAGTTTGTGTTTTTTCTGAAGGCAAATCTACCTGGCTAAAGGGCACATTTGTTAATACTTTAAAATAAGTGATGGCAGTGGTATAGATGAATCAATATGGCTCCAAAAACAATTCTCTGCAGAAAAAAGTATTAAAACACAACAGACTGCTAACTGTATAAAATTTCCCTTATACAAGTCTGTGTTAAATAAATCCAGCTCACCCAAACCCTTCAAGAGACGTGTCAAACTCCACAAAGCCCGGGGTGACTGATGAGCCATGAAGTCTGATATCATGTGGGGTTGTCATGGAGACCAGGCACTTCACTCTGGTCAAAGGTACTGTGCTTCCTTCTGCTGATCTAACCAGACTTCTGCTTATTCTGTACTGACTGTTATCTTCATTCACAGTAAACACACTGTCAGGGCCAAATCCCTCCATTGACATTGTCATACTGTCTGGAAGAAAACAAACCCCAAAAATATAATTAAAAAATCCTCAAAACCATTTATTCAATAATCTGTGAATCTACTTACATCTGCTATCTACTTAAAATAGCACCCATTTCATGGGAAAGCAGGCTGTATATTCTCTTAGAAATTAAAAAAATAAATAAATAAAACTAGCAGTTTAAATGCACACATAAACTTGGCCAAGGTCACCGGCTACTTCATTGGGGTATCATAAGACGTATAATCTGAGAATGTTTTATTTGCAAGTATGGAAAATATTTAGTACATTTTCAATGACAGGTTTTCAACTTGTTCAAAAAAAGAAATGAGTCTGCAAATATAACTTCTGGAATAAATCATTTGAAGACATTGAAATTTCATTCACAGAATCAGATTGCAGAAGTTACTTTTATATCATAGCTCACCACTGTAACACAGTTAGTTAGGCACTGCAGCTTTTTTAATTTAAACATCCAATGTTAAAGTGAAATTAATATTGATCTCGGAATTTCCACCACTTGTTCATGGATATCAAATATACTGTTAAATTTTTAAATTAAAATGGTGACCATTTTACAAACCAACCACATAATGAAAGGTTTTCTGCTGGGATAAACTTGAGAGCCAAATCACACGCTGCAAAACCACTGATCCTGATAAATTCCCAAATCTAAAAATCTAATGCTAATTCCAATTTTAACAAACATGCTCAGTCAGTATAAGTGCATTTTATTTTTTTTAACTTATCAGTAAGAGTTAGCAAATTGGGGTAGAACCAAGAATGAACAATATTTCCCCAATGGGTAGGCAAGTCTTCTTAACTGTCATTTCTAAAACCAGCTGGGTGAACACAAAAACCATGCTCTGTGAAGAAAACTGCAAAGTCTACAGAAGCTATTTAAATGGGATTGATTTTTATGTGGTTTATTTTATTTGAATATTGAATAAGCATTTTTCACTTACTCCTCATTTCAGCTTCATAACTCAGAGAACTTGGTTTGTGGACGCGGTACTGTTTCAGAAGCTTCTTGTCCCATGCCCCACAATTCAAGGGATTTCCCAAGCGAAGGAACTCCCTTTATAAACAAAAAAAACAAAGTCTCTTTGCTGCAGATGCCTTCATGAAATATCAGTCAGTCTCTTTATCCAGGAAGTAAGGTAATTATAATAAAATCTGATCTATTTCATCTAACAATGCAGTAGTTTTAGATTTTTTTTCCCCAATCAATAAGTAAACCAAACATTAGGGGGAAAAGGTACCTTTAAATTCCATCTTGCAGTACATACAAGTACACAACTGTCTATCTATTCAAAACCTGATATGACTTGACATTGGAATGGATAGGACAATTACACTGCACTTTTAAATACAATTACTTCAGAAAAATCTATCAAAAACTTCAGTAACCAAGTGCTGCCACCAGTATGACAAAAGTCAAAACGATATAGCAAAAATTAGCTTAGACTGTAAAGCAAAGATGGGGAAATTTTCCTGTTCTAAGCATTTCTAAACATTTCTTTGATAAAACACTAAAAAGCACTTTTGAAGTCGTCTAAAACAAATAAGACACTTTAAAAAAATATCCAATAAGATAACAAATGTTTCAATAATTATTTTAATAAAATATTTATAAATATATAAGTTAAATCTTCTCCTTTCAAAGGCATTTACCAGGCTTACAGCAAACTGTAATCTCCATTAAAGTGCATTTTTGTGGAGCTCTTAAAAAAAATGGAAAAGATCATGTTACTATTTCTCTTTTAGAAAGACCTCATAAAACATACTATGAGTTCATTGAACTTGTTTTTAGGTGAAACAAAACGTCTACGTTAACTTCCTGCTGCTCCAAATTTGAAGGTGGAGATATTATCTATCCAGAATTAGGATATTACTAAATACCTCCTGACCAGAATTTAAAAGCCTGACTTCTGTGGCAGTGAAGCATCTGCTAACAAACTGCTAGATACGTCAATGAATACCTCAGGACCATGGGCTGCAAAGCCTGTGATGCAAGTCTCTCAAACATCCTCTGCAGCGGAGGGTGCAGTGGGTGATCCTCATCGGACAGGGCACAACTGCAGCGCTGGAGGAGCCGGGAATGGAGGCCAGCTTCACACATTATCTGCTGGTTCCTCTCAGAGTGGACCAGCAGCTGCAGGATGTTTGCTATGGCAAGCTGAAGGTCCAGGGCATGCTGGGAGATAACAGCCAACCGAAGTAACATGGCATTACTCATGTTTCACAAGGACTCTTTCACATTTTACAAAGCACATCTGCATGATCTTCCACTAACACACTTATCATCTCAGGGATGCTATAAGGTGTGAACATATGACAGAAATACACTAGCTAACAGACTTTTGTAAAAAATTCTCGACTCTTGTCATTTCCTGACCAGTTCCTGACCTGATCAATTTTATTAATTACTGCTCCTTTGTTAAGAACAGAACTCTTCTGTTTACTGTCCAGGTATTTTTAAAATCATATTTTGGTAGTGAACAGCTTTTAAAAAGAGGGAATGTATGTTATATTTACAGCAGCAAGCTGACTTGACACACATTTATTAAGCTACAATATGACATTCTTCTATCTATAGAGCATTATCATTATCCACAGAGATTTTTGTAAAGGTATTTGCCTTCACAATATGAGGCCATTTTGTGATCTTTTGGTTTTGGGTGTGATTATTTTATGAATACAGTTGGTGGAGGTAATTGCTGCTAAAGGAGGTTCTACCAGTTACTAAATATAAGTGTTCACATAGTTTTTCCAACCTAGACTGTGAATGTTTAAACGGTGTGTTCAGTACTGACAAGAAGACGTACAATTGTTTGTGTTATTAGTTTAAGCAGATTGTGTTTGTCTATTACTGTGACGTAGTTGATGATCAGAACACATTTTTAATTCCAAAGGGTTCACAAACTTTTTCTTGCAACTGTATATTATGTTTTTTACTGCCTTCTTCTTCGGTTACTGCCTTCTTCAATGAATGTTTGTGTGTATTGTTGTACCTCAGGCTGCATTTCAGAGGTGACGGAGGCAAGGAGGTCCAACATGGCTAGCCCTGCTCCGGGGTGAATGATCACTGCATCAGGGGAGTGCAAGGGAGGGGCGCCTAGGTGTAGCTTCAGGTCAGTGACAGCCTTCATGGACAGAGATGAGGTTGGGGCAGAGACGCCATGATAGCCATGTCTGCAGGAGTAGAGATCACACATAATTTGTACAAGTTTTATACAATTTCAATTGCAAGCTGACCAAAATATCAAAATATCAGATCTCTACATCCAATTACACAGGGCAAAAGAAAAAATGATTTAGTTTAACAAACCCCAGTGTGATTGAAGGCCAAGACCCAATGGCTCAGACAACATTTGTGAATATCCTTCAGGGCAAGATTCTCTGCTACCCTTCAAAAGTCGTTATCCAAAATGCTATAAGATTACTTTTTAATAAAAAAAACACCTAAGTATAGTACATCAGAATGTACAGTCACAGGCCTGTGTGAATAAGAAATAATCAGACAAGTTGTAAAACCGATATTTAAAAGAACATAATAAAATATTTATATAAAGCGGAAGCTATGAAACTGTTTGAGTTGTAATTTTTATTTACTGATAATTCTATTATTTTGTCAGAACTCTGATGATTAATAGTGAAACAGCCCAATCAATGAAAAAAAAGGGATACCACAGGGAGCCACAAGTCTGGAAGACTGCTGTTCCACAGGGTCTGGAGCTTCTTAATTTAATTTTATACAACTAAAACTTTCTATGAATATTTTTTAATTCAGCAATCCTAAAAGACACTGAGTACTTAATTAACAGGAGCAGAACCTTTTTTTTTATTTTTGTATAATACCATATATATATAACCATATCAAACACAACTTAAGCTCTGAGCTGTTAAGTTAAGATATATTCTCAATATTCTCAAAACATGAATAATACATAAGACAACACAAGATGTTTTCATCAAGTTATACAAAGCTAACCAGGTAATGACACACATCTTTAACCCTAAATCCCATTTCTTGCAATAGCGTTTCATCAAATAAGGATGACAAAAAATAGACACTGAGACAAGTGACAGCACAAAAATACAACAATGTGCATTGCGGTCTAACAAAAAAGCTGCAACGAGTTTGTTACAGAAACTGGAAAAAAAAAGAAAAGGTGTAGAAACTGAAAAGATGAGCAGAAATCAACAGAATGATGTGAACAGAAAAGAAAACTGCAGTGAGCAGTACCTCTTTCTGGAGAGAGCTGGAGTGCCCCAAGGAGAGGGCAGGGAGGTCTCGTGTGTCAGGCACGGAGGCACCTGCTCAGCACGACTACATACACAAGACAGCAGAGGACAGCCAGGCAAACGTGAAAGGTTAAGAGAAAAACAGGTAGGGAGCTTGTTAGCACTCTGAGCTGAGAACAAATGCACACACATAAAAGAGGAATACAAATTATAGCAGACACATGATTTGACCATCGCACATACATACACAAATGCACATAAACAAAAATAGTCTCAGAGAAGGCAATTTCTCCGCTGTAAAGGATGAAATTCTGAGAACTAAGGCACTTCAGAAAATGTCTTTGATCCAAGTTTGGCTGCTTACCCTGACAAACAGAACAATCACGAGTAAACTTCCTTTATTGAACCAGCTAAACATTTTAATATTTCTTAAGTGATTATTTTCTCTTTTTAGAGTGTTATCAGTAAACATTCACAACCAGCCATAAGGTGGTTAATGTTTACATTATTTCATTGCTGCTCATTAGAATTTATAACTTTTCCTTGGAAGCATTTACATTCAAAATCTGTATTTATACGAGGAAATAAGTGAGATTATTTCTATTGTTTTCCCTGCCTCCAACAAAGCACAAAATGTGTGAGGTTGTGCAAATCAGGCATGTTCTTAATGCATCTAAAAGACAAAAGAATCTCTTCTCCATTACTCCATTACATACCTGCAGCATTGTGGTATATGGGAAAACATTATCTTTATCAATACTTTATGTTTCTCTTTTACAATATTTGTTGTCTATATTTTAGCTATAATGTTTAACTGTCATTTTCATGCATTGAAATATAAAACTTGTTTCAATGAAATGACAGTCATTTTCATTAGCCTAGCCTGTTCAATGCCCATTGCAACTAATTAATAATTAATTGCTGACTGCTCATCATTCTGCTATTATCACAGAGAATTTCCAGAAATGTATCCTTCAAGGAATAACACTCAGTCATTAAAAAATGCATGTATGCATTAATTATTAAGGAAAAGCGCTGGAAGCATGCTTTTTAGAAATTTTATACATTAAAAACTGTCACAAAACAAGACAGTTTCAGCCAAAAACATACTCTAAGATAAGAAGGCAGTACCAGTATTGCAAAAAGCACACTAATGATAAACAGTATTACTTCTGGGTATGGGTGAAGAACTAACCATTGTGTTATCATTTAAATGATATAGTAACTTCCAAATGACCAAATAGGATAAGCCTCAAAATATTTTACTAAGCAAGAAACCAAGATGATGATAAAATCATACATTTAAATTCTACAAAGCAGATTACAACAGGCAAGGTGATGCTTAAAACATGTTATTCAAAGTAGACACCTAGCACAGTGAAAAAATGATACTTCAATGTCTCATTCCAGTTTTATCTCAATGAGCAATAAGGGCTATTTTGGCCAAAACATTACAGGAATACATCTAAATCTGAGTATATATTAACATTTTATTTTAAAATGAACCAATCCTAATAAAAATTAATTGAAGTCAAAATGGTAGGTTATCAATTAAGACACAATTAAATCTTAAACACAAAAAACTCAAAATGGCAAGAGCCTAGAACCTAATCCAACCTCTGCTCTAGACATTTCAAATGTCATTATGTCCTTGTCTGCACTTACAGCTGAACAATGAAATATGGGACAACAACTGTATTATCAACTGAGAAAAATAATGTTTCACATGTGGGAATCAAAAACAGGTAAAAAACAGTAAACACAGAAAAGGCACACCGGTACCTAATAGAGCTGCCTACCTGTCAAAGGAATCAGTGGCCATCTTGTACAAGAATATGAAGAGCTTGCTGCAATGTCTCAGAGTGGGACACACACTGTCCACAGGAATCACATCATCCTCCAGCAATCTTTGAAATGGCTGTGAGTTGGACGGGACAACAGTTGCTAGGCCAATTTTCTTGGAGTCAGAGAAGCAGCCCAACAACCTCACAGCGTCTGCCAGCTTCTCATACTGGATTTCCGTGCGGAAGAAGTGCGAGTTAGCGGGTTCGTACCGCATTGCAGCAGTCAGCGTGCAAAAGACGGTGTGCAGGAGCTCGAACACTTGGTTCTGGATGACCTTCTCCCAGCCATTCTTTGGGGGGCAGCACAGAGACCGTTCCATAGCGACGAGCAAAGATGTGACGTAAACGAACCCCCCCACCTTTCTGAACACTGTCCTGGTGCGATGGCTCTCTCTCAGGACAGCAAGAAGTGCCTGACACAGGAAAATAAGATTTTATAGAAACGTTTCATATCAACATTAATCTGCCGTTAAACACTTATTTTTCTTAAATTTATTTAAGCAACTGAAACATTTCATATTTTGCATTATGTGTTGTCTATTAGGTACCATTGAGAATATATTTATTTTCTTGAGTATTACATAACAACACTGGAAAGGGGGATTAGCTTAATTCTTTCAGTTTTGCTTGGTTCTGTTCCCAGACTACTAATATTCATCCAGTTTAACATAACAAATCGCAAATTGCTAATAGCAAATTAATTAAATACAGAATTCCATTGTGAGATTTTTACTAGCACAGAAAGGATAAGAGTTTATTTTCTAAAAAACATTTTGTGTACTGAATAAGAAATGCATGAGTATTTTCTGAAAACAGTGCTTAGTTTCCATCAATATTGTTTTTACTATTTTTTAGCTTAACTGAAAACACTCCCAGCACCTAATTTATAGAAAATGTTCTTATCCATTCTCAGTGCATGCAACACAGCACTGTTCTTCCTGTTTAAGAATTCCAGGAAAAATTAGATTTTTTTAACACACTTATTATATACACTATACAACCTTAATTTATGTATTTGAAAATGTACCTTTAGGGGTCATGTTTCTTAATAATAATCAAAAACACTTTTTAGAGAGAAGTGGGGCATTACTTTTTCTTAATTAAGAAGCAAATACCAATCAAGACTGTTCCCCTACATAAATGAACACACTTCATACTTCAAGAACATGAAATGCAGAAAAGTGAAATAAACAGAATTAATTTTGCTATGTGATTCATTTGAAGGACATTCATTACTGCTATGTCCTTTTAATGCCAGAATTATCACTTAAAACATATTTTCTTCCAGGGAACGCATACTAATAAGGTATAGTTTAAATAAACTTAAAATCTATAAATATATCATATTGTACTGCTAAGAATTCACACACTGCTAATTCCATTTTAAGCGTGTGACATTTTCTAGACTATAAAACTCCATTAAACCACAATAAAAAAACAAAATCAAAGAGAATTTCTTTGAAAAACAGATTTCATTACTATAGGCTTAGTCCTATGAAAATGTTACAAACAATGGGCATTGTGTTAAGGGTTTACACATGTGTTTTATGTCTTTTAAGTCAGTAAATATGGCCAAAGGTGTCAATTTTCATGAACATTACTTTTTTTATTGAGGATAAACAAATTCTATTTAAAACCATTCTGTCAGCCTTCTTGGAACATAACTATTTAATAGTGGCTGAACTATTTAAATGAGGTCATTTAGCCAGCAGTTATGGGGATGACATACAGTAGTACAAAGTAGGTCTCAAGTAAGAATAAATAGGACATACAACAAACAGAGACAAGAGACAAATGAAAAGGTAGACTCTGATGGAGGAGATCTGATCGGATTGTGAGAGTGGACTCCTTCATAAAGTCTAAGAAACAAAATTGTGTCCAGGAATCTGAATACTTTAAATGTACCATATTCGTATGTAAAATGGTTTGCTGTTTTATTTTACTTGTTTGTTGAAATACCCATTTCCCATATATAGGAATTCATAGGCTAAGGTTAACCTTTCATGGTTTGTGATACAATATTTTGAATGGGAAAACAGTCTTAGTTAAGTATCATTTTTTAAATCTATCCTGAAAAACAGGCAGAATTATGCATTTTCTAAGTCTGTTAAAGGTAGGGCTCTGGTACTCCCAGAATTGTAATTGTTTATATATAGCTGTGAAATACTGTGTGTAAGTTATAGCAAACAAATGCTTGATGTCTTTACATTTGACTCATCTTTTCAAGTTGTGCCGTAGAATAAAGAAATTGTGCTATGATTCGGTTGAGCAATTCCGGCCCTTATTTCTGAAAATCTACACAAACAATGGCACACACAAAAATTAAGTACGTACAGGTTGCCAACCACTTTCTCTTTAAGTAGTTCAGTATCTAAGTAAATCGAAACTCTTGTCATAATTTTAAGTCCTTCTTCCAAAAGTCTTGCTAAGAAAATGTATGTAAATTCTTAAACATACAGCTCTCTTTCATGCATAGTTTCCTAATGCCTAGAATCACCAATGCAATATGCATTAGCATAGGTTCCTATTTCCTGCAAAGATCACTTTGCACTTATCAATGTTAATCAGTTAATTAACTTTAGTTTGTTAAATGTGTGCCCAGTACATGAATTTGTCTCTGTTTGTAAATTACTGCTTTTGTTTAGTAAACAAAAGTGTTTATTATATTCATGCTAGGTTTGAAAGGACTAGGTTTGCAAGTTTACCGACTCTGTTAAGAAGCAACAATTAAACATGTCATAAAAAATCATTGTATGCCCCATCTCAATACCACAATTTATGTGTGACAAACTGAAATCTACCAGTAATACAACATCACCATGGCAACATACCTTCTTTATCTCAAAATACATTATGCTACTTGGTCGACAGCACTCATTTGAATTCCTATTTCCCAGTTTAAGTCATATAGACTTTAAACCGTCAGTATCCTCTTGCTTCATTTCACCAGGTCTTGGGTTTCTTTTGATATGTTAACTCATGCTCCCACCCGTACTATGCCACTTATCTTTCCCAAAATAAATGTGTAGCCATTAAATTCATACTCATCTCCATTATCCTCCTCTACCCATTTGGAACAATTTCATAATTTCCTGCTAATGCATTGGCTTCAGGTTCTTGCATTGTATTCATTGTACCAATAGGATTGATGTCTAGGCATTTAAGAATGGATGTGCTATTTATTTTAGGCCTGTGAATTTCTTTAGCTTCTATAAAACCTCAGTGTCAGATATACAGATACAGCCATTCAAAGTGCGCGGTACAGACACGTACCGGAGGTAATTGGCTACGGCGTCACGCATCGCGACGCAAGACGACGCGGGATACCGCGGTACGTGATTGGTTGACCGACGGGCACTCGTGGTCCGTTGGTCTGTCGTAGAAAGAATTACTGTAAACCTCTTTACTGTGCCCGTTATAGTATTGAATATTCATATGGAATTTTACCACTGAAGGGAAATCTTAGTG